TGGTGGGGAAAAGCATAAAGAAGGTAAACTTTGCCCTCCTCTCAACCACTGCAAGTGGTTCCCAGGCTCACACAAGCAGGTGCCAAGCCCACTAGAATCAACCTTCAAAGCACTACTCTTTCCCCATTGCAGATTCACTGTTATGTCTTACTTTGGGATGATGAAATCTCCTTTTGTAGGTCTATTCTCCACAGCCAATATGTTCATACATTTAGATACCAAATATTTCTCTCTCAGTACCTATCATGCCTATATCACACCTTAATAGTCTGGACAATCACTTGCTTTTGCTTTTTGTTGTGCAAGAATATCATCACCTACAATCCCAAGACTTGAGAATGTCTTAAACTCATTTTAGGCTATATTAAAAGAGGAGTTAGGAAGCAGTAGTGCTTACTGTAATCTCAGGAAAAGGATCATGCAATAAAGTATTTCATGTTAAACAAACATCTGTGTGTTTTAAAGCTGGAGAAGGTTTTTTTTACATTTGTTTTAGTCTGGGTTTGCCGTTATTGAAATTAAAGGGAGGGAAATTTTTAACACAATTCAAAGGTCTTTTTTAAAGCAGGTATAGGAGCACAGTAAATGTACCCTACGTAGGCAATAGCTTTTAGCCGGAACAATTGTGAAAGTCTAATCATATTCTAGTCTTCCCAATGGGGTGAATAGAGAAGGAAGCCAAAAAGACAAACTATGGAGGAAAAAAAGATTTCTTTTTAAAGGTATTGCTCTAATTCCTTCCCACATGCACCTCTACAATGGCAAAGAAAGCAAACGGCTGATCTATGCTCCTTGCTTGTACCACAAGTTTTGTGTCATCTGACAAGCGCTACTCTCAATCATTTCTATAGTGCATTAGGTGAAAATGGCATTTCACAAACCATTTGAAAAGACAGACTCCACCTGTCCCAGATGTTCTATAATCTGGGAGCAAATCTTTACAAATCCTGTGGGGTCACGTCTATGACACAAGGTCTCAGGAGCTCTGAGGAGTCAGTACGATTTCAGCTGGATCATTCTCTGAATGAAATAAATGGGAATTTTGCCAATGACTTCATTAGTTGAAGGTGCAAGCTATAATTCAGAAGACTAGGATGTCAGAGCCAGCAAATCAAGCTTAGAAGGGAGATAGCAATTCATGAAAAGGAAAAAACAAGCAGCGTGCATAACTCTTCTGTTTGAAGTGGGACTTCAGCAGTTTGGGAGATAATAACTGGCATGCAGGGTGGGGATGGAAGACTGTAGGAACTAATCCATCTTGTGCTACATCCTTCACTATCTCTGTTGAGTTCAGCAGGAGTTACTGGCCTGAGTAAGGTGAGGATTTAGAGGTGCATGTTCCTACACAGCACAATGCATGAACTGTAGACATTTACAAGCATTTCAGGACTAACACCCTGCCTGTTAAAACCAGGAAACTAGCCACTTGGGATTAACTCTGCAGTATGATATTCATTATTCACCAGCACAGCAATCCAACAGAGACTAACTATGAAGTCTGATATTCATTAAACTGCAGTACAGCATCTCTGAGGTGGCCTGTGGTGCAGCCCTGTGTGTGTGTGCTTATGTACATGTACTACAAAATATGATGGCAAGAGGGAGGGACGTATATTTTAGAAAGGAATCAAATTCAGCACAAGTGGTGGCTGGCCTTGCAGGGATCTCTAGAAAAGATGCCAAGTAACGTTTGGCTTCCAGGTCAGACAATTTTTTTTTTTTATCCTAAATCTACTCATGCAAAGACACAGCTTATAGCTTGCAGATGGCTCATTCTGCTGATCTGCCAGTATTCACACTCAGAGTGTGGAATTATATCACATGAGCAAGGGGATTGCTGTCTTTTTTCACAGCTTTGTTATTGCAGGCAAAAAAATACAGCTAACCAGAAAATAAGAAAAAGGAGGATACTGAATTCGTATTTTGGGAGAGATTTTTAAATTTAATTTAAAAAGACAAGGCAAACATGAGCTTCCAGTCAAACATTATCTCTTACTCATATGTTTATCAAGTAGCCAGAAACTGAGGATGGGCTTCACATTTTAAATAAAGGATGCACTAACATTAGCGGGCAAAGGTTTTTTTCTCTCACTAAGATGTTTACTTGTGGTTTTTACACTTAGAAAAATTCCCCTAACAATGATAATAGTTAATAATAATTGCTAATGTTATAATTACTAGGAACCTCAAATTCATGAATAACATCAAGAAAAAAAAATTATTATGAATCCTTAAATTCAGTTCCTGAAAAGGAGAAACACAATCTATTTGCAAGATATTATAATCAATTTGAAAGTCTCAGTAGAGTTGCATCTTTGTAAACCAGAAGTGATTGTATTTATTTATTGACATTATCTAGGAATTGTACCAATATAGCATAGGAAGGCTGACCTGTGAAATCTGTAGTCTGTAAAAAAAAATATACGAAATCCATTGATGTAATTTGAGCTAGAAAAAAAAATGCTAATATTTTGTCTTTGGAAAATTGTTTGGGTTGATAAAAGCTACTTACACATTTGTGATGAAGTAGTCAGAGGGTTTCATCTGAAAACACATTTTTTTAAAAAGGAAAGAGCTAACTGTTTTGCAACAATTGCAAGATAACAGAAATATGGAGCCACCAGAGACAGTCCAGCAAAGGGCCACTGAGATGATGAAGGGACTAGAGCATCTCTCCCTCATCTTCTCATCATCTGAGGAATGACTGAGACAGCTAGGACTGTTCTGCCTAGAGGTCAGAAGTCTCAGGGGTTTTTTTAATGTATATAAATATCTGAAGGGAGGCTTTCTAAAGAAGGAGCTAGGCTCTCTCCAGTAGTGCCCAGTCACAGATCAGAGGCAACATCATAAACTAAAATACAGGATGTTCCTTCTAAACATCAGGAAACACTTTTTCCCTGTGAGGATAACAGCACTGACACAGGCTGCCCAGAGAGGTAAAGAAGTCTCCATTCTTAGAGACATTAAAAGGTCATCTAGAAATGGTCCTGGGCAGCTTATTCTAAGGGAACTTATTTAAGCCGAGGGGCTGGACCAGATGACCTTCAACCCCAAACAGTCTGGGATTCTGTAATTCATCATTTCAAAGATGTCATTTAATTAAAATGAGGAATTATTAGGGGTCTTTGTGTGTAATGGTATAAGAAAAATAAAGTGTTATCTTGACTAATCAAGACTGGAGTTTATTTGGACAACTTTTCAGGGTTTTGTCACACTACAGTGTACAGAGTGGTTGAACAAACTCCATAGTGAGGTTTCAGGATAGATAAATTTGCAGGTGTTTGGTTACAGATGATGAGAACTGTAGCACAGGACAACTGACTGAAGTGTCATTAAATTTTTTACTTGTGTTGCCACAATCCTTCAGAGAGTCAGTCCTAGACTGAGATCTCCATGGCAATCAGGATCACACAAAGATTATGATGATTAGAGCTGCGAAAGATTACGACTGCAATATAAAGAAAGTTATTAATCGTTAACAAATGAGTGTCTAGGGAGTAAGAGGAAACATAGAGAAAATATTGATGAGAAGGATAAGCAGTGGTCAATAGACTTACATTTGTGAAATTTGAAGAATGTAGGAAGGCAAGAAGAACTTTAAAGAAGGCATTGAAATGTAGGCAGTGGAGCAGCCCTGAATGCTTCTGTAGGATTTCTCTTTACAAATGAAGGGCAGAATAAATGAGAACATAGGAATAGTTTGAAAATTAACTTCAAAGCAGTGGAACATAAGGTAAGAAACCTTGACAGTGAACATACCTCTCCAAGCAATGTAAATAGAAGGGGTGCCATGGTTTAGTTAAAGGGATAGAAAACTGACATTTGCAGCATTATCTGAAACGCTGTCATAGCACAGAAGTGTATTCACCTAGAGAAACCAAAAAAGAGAGAGAAAAAAAGACCTGAACCACGACATGACGAAAGCCCAGACAACAGTTAATAGCTTTGCAAATAGAGAATAAACACATGATTTTGAGTTGTTACCCTAAGAAAGCCAACAAATTTACAACCTGGAGAAGGTCCCTGCAGAGAAAGAGTCAAGTGAAATAAGATGACCATGTTGTGAATCTGCTTAAACAAAATAAAAGAATGATAGAGAATATTCAGCTAAGAGAAAAAGAAGGGAATGAGGTTTCAGGAAGTGTGTACTTAGGGAAGAAGAAGAAGATGAGGGAGTAGGGAATGGAAAACAGGAGATAGGAGGGAAATACAAAGAGCAATGAGAAATTCATGTAGGTAGTAACCACATTATATTAAAGTAAGTTAAATACAGAAAGTGTTTTTCTAATACTCCTTCTTTCAAAGCTATTTTTTCTGTTGCCACATTGCTGAGATTGGGAGTGGTGAGAAGGTGGTAACATATGAGCTTGTAGAACTCTGCTAAAATTCTGTCTAGTTTATGAAGATATCATATAGATTCTGCACTAAGAGAAGAAAATTAAGCTATGAGATAAGGACAAACTACTTGGAGAGCATTTTGATACATCCCTTGAAGTCCAGGAAAGACAGCAGCAGTAACAGTTCACTCATTTTCAAATCCCATCAAAAAAATTCAGTGTACACTTTAAGACAGTACTGGGTCTCCTTTACCCCTATTTTTATCTGTGCCAGGTTACCAATCCCTAAAGAGGATAATAGTTTCTAGAGCACTCCTTTGGGAGATTTCAGCTAGGTGTGGCCTAATTGTCAGATGTGCTGCCACATGAAAGCTTCTGCAGGGCAAGGAACAGAGATTATGTTTGCATTTAAATCATTCCATGGTAGGCAAAACGGCAGTATTTGTAACCTGTAATGGCTGCAGCATCCTTTCAATTAGGATTTAAGTGACAAAGTCAAGTCAGGATATGCAGAATGAGGAAAATGCATCAAATAATCTGTGTGAAAAATCGTGTCCAAATGCCTTCTACTCCAGTCATGAAAACTCTTAAGAAGCATAATGAGAGACTGAGGGACTAACAGGGCTATGGAAAATAATAAACAATGACAGTGAAGCAACTTACTTAGCATCAGATTTCTGATCTGTAGTTCTTGTTGTTGTCTCTGATTCATGATCCTCTTTGCCCATCTGTAAAAGAAGAACAGTGTTATTTTACAGGGTGGGGGTTGTGAACCTTAATTTGTTAACATTTCCAAAAGAATTGTGAGATCCTGAGATGAAGGGGCCAAATTTAATGCTCATTGTTTAGGCTCTAGTCTGTCTGTGCTCAGACAGAACTCCCACTGAGACTGGGAGCTGAACAACAATTCCAGAAGTTGATCCATTTTTCCTAGGAAAATGAGACAGTTGCAAAGTACAGTTCGTTTGCCGCATTCATTCAGTACCCTGGAGATACAGCATTATGGTTAGTTACACATCTCAGAAAGCTTCTTCAGCAATATTGCAACGGCTTTGAATTCTTACAAGGCTATGCAGTCCAAGTAAAACAAAGCTGCTGGCAAAAGTAATAAGCCAGCACTCTACACCTGATTAAACAGCATTGTTTTTTAGTGTAGGACCATGCCAAGTTCTCATGTCAGTGTGGATGCACAGTATCCAGGAGCCGCATAAAGCGCAGGTTTTGCCACCGCAGTAGTGAACAACTTGCTCTGTGAACAGGTATTGCCTACCACTGTTTCTTAACTCAGCAGTTTTCAGGAAACAATCCCCATTCCCCACAAAACAAAACAAGCAAACAAACAGAAAAAACCCAACCCTTCCTCAAATCCCATAGGTTCTGGAATGTAAATAAGGTAAACTGAGCCCTTAAATGATCTGCACATGCACACACTACCTACAGCACTTTTGGTTGCTAACTGTAAGCAGCTGCCAATTTCCATCTAATACTCAGACATCTTGCTAACTGATCTGCAAGTCCCAAAAGTGTGTTATCTGTTAATGTGCCTCTAATTTTGCTAAGAGCCTACTATTTATAGTGTGTCATTTATTTACTTATTTACCTTCAACTAATTAAAGCTATCATTTTAAAAAAGAATGCAGTGGGGAAAAAACCCAATATGTGTGTGTGTGTATGTGTGTGTGTGTCTCCTTGGTGAGAGGAGAAGACCCAATCTGTTCACTTAACTGGATGAATGTTACAAAAGTTCTGTTTTGCTTGGAAAAGCAATGCATGAGTAAAAGCTCCAAAACCCTAGCATTATTATCTCTAATTACAATTGGCAATACGTGGCAATCATAATTATTCATTTATGCAAAATAGCTTACAGTGTGTCTCATTTTTTATTCCCTGTTAAAGGATGGCTTGACAAAAGAAGAAAAAAAAAGATTATAGTGCTGAACATAATTGTGCTAAATGCTCAGTCATTTTGTTTAAAAAATACTACAAAACTAAACTGCTATTTCTGCAGAGACAGAAAATAATTTAACAAAGATGTATGGTATACTCTGCAGGTGGCAATCCATCCAGAAAACATATTTCCCTGAAAAGGAGAGATATTTCAGAACAAAACTGAAGAGTATAATTTTTGCCATTTCGGTCTTTCTTAAAAAAAAAAAAAAAAAGAAAGAAAGAAAAGAAAAAACCCTCCTTGTTTTAATCTAGCATATGCTTCCTCTGTTAGCAAAATGCTAATTTGCAAATAGTCAGAGGAGAGACCGTGACCATAATAACTCGCTACGGTTCTGCAATATGACACTCTATTCTATTTCAATTCTACCACAGTACACTAAACAATTGAATAAGATCAAGTGCACTTAATGACAAAAAAATAAGGAAAAATGAGTTCATACTACTCAAATAAGTAACCTCTATTTATGCATGTATTTCTAGTGGAATATCACTCTAATTTATGGTACTGAGCCTGTAAAAGTAACAGTCCATAAGAGTTGCCAGTCATCCTTCAAGCAGGTACTTGGGGTCAGGCACTTCACAGGACCATCTCCCGAAAAAAAAAGGGCTCGTGTTCAGGATTCCAGGTCCAGAGATTCAGTCTGAAGAAAACAAATGCTGAGAAGGTGGTGTATTAGGAGAAACTGAAGAGATTCTCTAAAACCTAATTGAAACACACAGGGATGCTTTAATCCTGACATGCTGCACCTGATGAGTAACCTTTAGTCTTGGATCCAATCCCACTTTTTCTTGTGGAACAACTTTTCCCCCATTGCATTTATTCCTGTCTCAGAGCAAAACTGAAGGCAATGGAACTATTTCTGTGAAAAGGATCATCCACAGAACCAAGGTTTTTTCTGATGGCTAGGCATTTAAAACCTTTTTCAAAGTGTCTTAGATATGTAAAAATGTAGGAGACTTTAAAATCCAAATAGGAAGCAGATTTTTTTTCCTGTGCTGATGGTGTTGATTAGAGCAGAGGAAATGGAGATCGCCATTGGAATGCATGGGAAAAGCCAGTCTTCCTGCACAGTAAGATAAGTTGCACTATGTATGTTTACAAAAAAATTGGTCAGCTTCACACAGTGGTTAAAAGAAGGGAATTTGTCTCCTGACTTAGTGAATGATGACAGAAAATGAGGAAAACATGGAAGAACATCATACATCAAAAATTTAGAGCAAAAGAAATAAAATGGAAATCTGAAAGAAACAAAACACAGCATTGCCATTACTTTATACTTTGCTTTTACCATCAGACACAATATATGATTAGCATGTGAACTAGTGTCTTTTTTTTTTTCCTCTCAAGCTCATGATTAGGATGCAGGAGATACCAACTAGGTCCAGCAGTGATTTCTTACTATAGTTAATTCATTGTGTCTTGGTCCATTACCACTAAAAGACTTTTTCTACCCTTCACACAGAACCCGGAAGACCCTGTTCCCATTACAGTGAATGTTAAAATTCAGTTTTTAATCAGAATATAGAGTTGGGTCCTGTATGTGCTGTCCATATTATAACAGATAGCTCACACATGCTCAGATATCTGGGTTTGCTAACACAGTCATCATTTTCTTAACACACTGCACCACAACACCTACATGAGATGTCTTGATTACAAAAGACAGATTGTCAAATTGTTTCACACTGTGGTCTACAAACAAATAATATTAAACACTAAGACACTAGATGTACCTTTGGGGCAATGAAAAGGAAAGCATTACTATCCCCTGTAACAGATCAAAGGACTAATAGAGGCCATTGGGCTAGATCTACAAAGGGTACATTTCAGTTAGGAAAGTGTCCAGGTGGGATAGCGGAGAGTTCCCTTCTCTAGTGACAGCCTAAAACAAAATAATGGAGCGTGCAGTCAAGTAGGGAATATAAATCAAGAAAAATATTTGGAAAGAGAAGTACCATTCATTTCAACATTTCTCTTTAACTTAGAGCAATCATTTTGCATTTTTCTACCTAAATGTTACGTGTACTTCAGTAAATCAATCAGAATTATTTCATTGGTGGTCAACTCTGTTACTAAAAATATCTCATGGAAGTCAGAATTAAACGTATGACATAGTCATTTTCTCCTATGGACCTGGCTTCCTGGCCAGGCTATATGTTGTAGACATTCAGAGAGTTGTAATACTCATGACATATGACTGAATTAAGACAAAAAGAATCATCAATGACTTATAGCAAGAGTAGGGCAATATCCAAGAACAAGACTAAAGCACAGAAGGACCCAATTTCTAACAAGACTGTATCTTAATACTTAAATTAACTCAGGTTAAATATTACAATTAAAATGAAAGTGCTCAAATGAAAAATCTTCTGTCATAAAAATTTTCCTAAATGAAACTTAAAGTTTGCAAGACAGCAGATTGTCCTTCAGAAAAGCGTATTGTTTGGCATTTCTTGGCAGGTTTTTAATATGAGGTATATTCTTTCCTCTTCCCTTTATAAAATAATGATTGGCTGCTACAGAAGATGAAGATTCATTGTAATATGGATAATAAAGATTTTAAAAATAATACATATATTTAAAAACTTTAAACCCCAAAATAATTAAATAATTGCATTTTCTTATTTCTCAAAAGGACCCTGTGGATTACCTGAAAGGTTTTTTCCATTAATATCTTTGTGATTTCACATCCCACATTCTTTCCGCCAATGTTAACACGAGTGGTAACAGTCTCTGCCAACCACTAGTCCTTTCTGCTTCATGCAAAACACTAATTTTTCTAGCCTTAAAATTGTTGTCTTAAGTTTTTCATGAAGTTAAATTCTACATTATGCAAAATACATTGGTTTTAGGTGAGTTTTCTTCCTATATGTTTTGTTAATACAGTTTGTATCAGTGTGTTTCCACAGTATCAGCGTGCCTGTTTTTAGAGATGACTGGTAAGGCAGTTTTCCATAACTTGGAGATGGTTTTCTGAATCTTAAATGATGTTTATCTATAGTTTTCCATGGTATTATATTTAATAGTTGAAAATGAAATCTGGATATTAACTAATCCATCCTCTGGCTGGAAATTAACTTGTCTTATCTCAGTTTTTCATATGTGGAAAAAACACAAAAGGACTAATATCAGAAATGGGGAACACTAGATGAAGTTCAGAGGGGCTTGGTGTAATAAATTAGGTAAAGCATGTGGGTTATGTCAACCTTGAAGTGATTCCAAAGCTCAAGCTCAGAGAAGATCTGTTAGTACAAGTCCCTGAGTTTTTACCTCTAGTATCAGTGCAACCCAAATCTAAGGTACTACTGCATTTTCAGGTCTGAAGTCTAGCTCATTTACACCTCTCCTAATTCCTCAGAGACTTTTAGCTCCTCTCAGAAATAAGCAGAGTATTTGATGACACAAGTGTAGAAAATCCTTCATAACTTCTTATAAGAACAGAGCAGTATATAGATTAAAGTTAGGAACTTTCCTGAAATATAATTTACACATATTTTTTCCAGATAAATTTCACAAAATTAAGTAATATCTAATTTACTGATTAGTTTCAAAAAATGTTTTACCCTGGTAGAAGATCATGCCAACGGAATAACTTCATTTAACTGCGCAAAAATCAGCTGATGGAGAGTAAAAGTTTAGGTTTGATTGCTAACTCATAAAAAAACATGTACACCTTTCTTTTCATCCTTCAAAGTCTGACTTCAGAAGGGAAAACCAGGCATACTTTAGGATTGGGACACTCAGTGTGTATGTAACTCTGATGTTCTGCTACCAACA